TGCTCCCGCGGCGGCCGCCGAGCCCGACTGTCAGCGCGGCCGGCCCGTCCCGGGATGGAGCGGCGGAGCCGGAGGCGGGCTGAGGGCGGAGGCAGCCCCGGGGGCCGCCCCGGCTCCGCCGCTCCCTGGGCGGGACTCGCTGCCGGGGACACCCCCGGGGCGGGCCGGGGGCGGGGAGGGCACCGGAGAGGGCATCGGGGGCTCCGGCGGCGGGGAGGGCGTTGTGAGTTTCTCCGGTGACGTGGAGGGCAGCGGGGAATCCGCCAGCGTCCCCCACCTTGCTGCTGCACCCACCAAGCGGCACCTCTGGGTGGGTTCTCTGTGTGCGGGGAGAGACGGGGGAACCTCGCAGAGGGGAGGGGCGGGGATTTCCGCATTTTATGTTTTTGGGGTAATTTCCTGGTGGCTGTGAAGAAGCAGAGCCCTGAGATGTCCTGGCACTGCCTGGAGTGCATCGCCCAGGCTGTCTTCTTCAACAAGCACCCCTTTGACTTGGAGTGATTTCTGAGATTCCAGTTTCTGAGGATTCACTGTAAATGCCAAAGTGCATTTGAAAATTTGCAACTAAGGAGAGGGGTCTGGGCAGGATCTATCTGGGGTATCTCTCTGGGGATTCTGTCAGGAGAACAGCATTTGGATGGGACAGGGATGAGTTTGCAAACCCTCTTGGCATCTCAGTAAGGGCTGCCCCATGGAGAGCTGCCAGACACAGCGGCTGGTGGCAGGCTCTAGAATGTGCAGATAGAGGGTGATGCTGTAACAAATATCAAGGCTTAAATTCAACTCTGGAAAAATCAACTCTTAGGAAATCCCAAGAGCTCCTAACAGCATGGCTTAACCATGCCGAGGCCAAGAAATGTGGTGGAGATCCCTATCTCTCCTTCATCCACCATGCTTCTGTCTATCCAAATGGGCACAAATGACTTAAAGCCAGGAGCAATATGAGCTGGCTGCTTGGTGTGAAATCCAAGATCCCAGGCAGCCACAACTGTGCACCAAATCTCCTCTTGACAATATTGTTAGTTAGGTCCATTACTAAAACCTCTTGCTACCATCTCTAAAATCTTGCCAAGCTGGTTTGGAGCTATTCGAGATTCCCTTTGTCTTTTCAACTCCTGTAGCTACACTTATTCAAAGCACAGCAACTTGTGCTAGGCTGCACATATGCCTGTCTAACTTTACTACACCTACTTTAAAATCTCAGCATTAGTTCCCTGTCAAAGTGAGGATTTAATTTCAAAGTGCTTTGACTTATATTCCAGCTCCTGACAGGCAGCAGCCCACTCTCACCTAGTCATTCATCTGGCTTTCACATCCTTGCTGATTATCCTGGGTGAAAGCGGGATGCTGGCTGCTTTGCTGCTGAATTGGAGGTTGTTGCTGTGAGCCCCGTCTGGGTAATTCAGTGCAACTGGAGCTGATTAATCTGGCTCATCATTTGAGACAAAGCTGATGCCTTCTGGCTTCTAATTGCTCAGGGTGTTGAGTGAACTTGTCACGTAGGCAAGAACGAATTGAGAGGCTAAGGGGAATGAGAGGTTAGAGGGCTGTGGCTGGCTGGCCAGAGCCACGTGGGTCTATGGGAATGTCATACTTTTGGGCCTCTCATATGTTATTGCCCTCCAAAGAGAAACATCAGACAGAAGCCAGAAGGGTGGGTATGGACCCTGGTGTCCCGTCTGGCATGGACATCTGCAGCCCACGGAGCACTCTTGGCAGAAATGCTCCTGGTGCCAGGGCTGGTGGTGCTGTGGTCAGGCTCAGGGTACCCTGCCACTCTTTTTGGGGTAGCTGTGGTGGTAGGATGGTGCAGTGGGTGCTTGACATTGACCTGGAACACTTCTTGAGACTTCTCTTGGCCTGGATGAGGAGTGGTAGATCATGACCACCTAGTTCTGCAGCAGCTTCAAGTCCTGTTTCCATTGTAGCTGACGCAACAGAGGGGACTGTCCTTAACCAGCAGGAGAACATGAAAGCCAGGCTATTGCAGCAGTCACAGTGTGCATTGGGGATAGAGTGTCATATCCACAGGATGCATTGGGGATAGAGTGTTCATGGACTGATGAGTAGTACCCCCATGCCAGAGGGGAGGCAGATGCAAACACCTCTGGAGTAAGTCACTCCGATATGAAGTGCAGTGTGAGCTGCCTGTGGAGATGATAACTGTGCACCAGGGCAGGAGGGGTGTTTATTTTAGTCTCTGGGGTGGAGGAGGTGATGAGTGGGAACAGAGGACAGAATATGGAAATGGGCACTCACTTTAAGGGTGTGGGTTCCTTGGTCTTTTCAAAGATGTCCATGAAACACTGTTCAGTCATTACCTACAGCTTTCTAGAAGCTGGGTTTCTTTTGGCCTCTGATTCAGAAGGTGCTAAGGTGCTTTAAAAACCTAAAGCCCAGCTGATTTGGAAGAGAGGAAGGCCCAGATCCAGGGGAATGTTTAAGGGACACAGCAGGTATCCTGGCCTGTGCATTGCTGCAGAGCCTCTTGGCCAACAGGGCCCCTCCTTTGTACTCCTCTCAGGACAACAGCTGGTGATGAAGGCCCCTTGTCACTGCCAGTGTGGATTGGAGTTCAATGCCTGCTGACCACCCCAGGTTGCAAGGCATTGCTCTATGTTACTGACTGTGTGTTGCTTTAATGAACATCAAACTCCCATTAGATAAGGAGACTCCCTTTGATGTGTAAATATTTCAGTGGACGGCAAGAGGAATGAAATGCGCCCTAGGAGTGTTTGATAGGCTTGCCCAGGTGTGTATTTATTCAAAGAGAAATTACCATCACCATATCAGAGGCAAGGCAAAGGGCAGGCAGTGGTAACAGGAAGGAGTTTTCAGCTCAGAGACCAATGTGAAAGCAACAAAGCATGCAAAAGTCCATGGAAAACTATAGCCAGACTGTGGATATAAGGGATGTAAATACAAACTACACTGAAGAGTAAGTGCAGGCAGGTAGCACCTTTCCTCAGTTTCTGGATCTGACTGGTGCTATCAGTCATGGAGGTTGTGAGAGGTATTTTGCAGGTTCTTTTCAGGTTTCTGATGCCCCATGGGCTTACCAAATGTGATTGAAAGTAGGGTAGTCTACAATTTAGAGGATAGTCTCTATCATGTGATGGGGAGAAGAGGTGCAAGAAAAAGGAAAGGAGAACTCATGGATGAATCTGAGGCTGTGGGTGTTGGCTCTGAATAGAAATAAATTCTGTTTTGGATTTAATGGAACATAACTATGAGACACTTTAGCAACAGTACATGTATTCATCCTGTCCTGGAGATAGGAGAGGCTGTTCTGGAAGCCTCCATGCTAGGAAATACAGGACAGTTGTACTCCTTTACAGAAACGTGTTTTTTCTGATGAAATTAATTTCAAACTACCCAAACATTTCCAAGTGGCACTGATAGCTGGTCAGAGTAGGGACTGTATAGGACTGCAGTTCACAATCAGAAGCAGCTTTGCAAACATGAAAGTTGCTCTGACAAAAGAGCTGTGTCCAGTCCATTACAGTCAGGGACTGAGGAGTTGCTGTAACCCATGCTCACCTGGGCAGCTCAACACATCACAATGGCCACTGGAACATCAAGACCAGCCTTTTTTTAGATGCAGCAGGATGCCTTTAGCCCCTTATCTATTCCAGAGCCTGCTTGGAATGTGCATTTATTTGTAGGAGTCTTCAGAAGCTGGTGTTCATTTAAAATAAATCTTCAGTGGCATCACCTAAAATCTGGCACTGAGGCTGGTAAGATTCACTCCTCCAGTTTTATTGTCAAATAGGGCACTGAAAAAAAATACAGAGTGGCTTGGGATTTAGGGACTTTTCTTTTGGATGTTGTCTCTGAACACACCATCAAAATTTCTCTGGGAAAAATGAGTGGTTATGGTGATTTTGTGGGTGCTGTCCATGAGGGAGGTTAAGAGCATCCCCAAATATTGTGAATGCCTTCAGACCATACAATTGCAGGAAGAGCCAACTTTTCCATTGCTCAGATAGATCCTTTTTCACAAGTCTGTGAATGAATTGTCCCCTGGGTTTTACTATTTTCAGAGATTGTTATCACAGTTCCAGATTCTGGCATTTAAAATATATCCCAACCAATTTTCCCACTCACTTGGGTGTCATCCACACCAAGCAGTGTGTAGCACTGCTGAAACAAACCTTGATTCAGGTGCAAGACAAGTTGCCATACCTGGCAGTGCACATGCAGACAGCTGACACTGGAGTGACAGCTCACCACTGCAACATTTGCCCTACTCATTTTGCCCAGGAAGAAAATGAGATTTCAGGCTGGTTGGATACATAACACCCTGATTCACTCCTTTCCAAGTGCACATTATACCTCCAGGCATTTAAGAGAACTGAGACTTCATCCCCCACTGTGGGAGCTGGGAGAGCCATGCTCAGCTGAGCAGGATGGAAGGGGGGATGGAGGCCACCAGGACTGCAAAGGGTCTTCCAGGCTGGGGACGGTCAGGAGAGGACAGGGCAGGGGTGAACACCTTGGACTGTTCATGACTTGTAGTGGAGTTATCTTCAGCTTATCTTCACGTTCAGAAAATGTGGCAGATGATTAAATCCCAGATTGTTTTGGGTTGGAAAGGACATTAAAGATCACCTCATTCCACCCTGTGTCATGGGCAGAGACACCTTCCACTAGACCACGTTGCTCCAAGCCCCATCCTGCCTGGCCTTGAACACTTCCAGGGATGGGGCAGCCACAACTTCTCTGGATAAGCAGCTCTAGGCTTCACCACTCTCTTAGTAAAGAATTTCTTCCTAATATCTAAACTAATCTCTTCTGCTTTAGTTTAAAACTGTTCCCCCTTGTCATGTCACTATCTGCTTGTATTAAAAGGTTATTCTTCCTCTTTTTTTATAAGCCCCTGTGAGTACTGGAAGGCTGCAATGATATTTCCGCAGAGTGATGAGACCTACAGCCACCCCAGGTGATGTTACCATTGCCAAGGTGCTCAGCCTAATGAGGTCCATGTCTCTGTTCCTGTGTGTGACCAAGGAGGTCATGGGGCTGTGTCTTGCTCCATCTCTCTCCTTGCACCACTCAACCTGTTGGTGCTCTTGCTGGTGTGGTTCTGGCCCAGCCAACATGTACCTTGCAGACAGTGGCTAGGCAAAGAGCAAGGGATATCTTGTCCCAAGCCATACGAGAAGTAAGGCTAGTTTCTTTTAGGCTTTGCTATATGTTCCCTGACAAC